TACCTCGTAAATCACTCGGAAAGCATCGTTGGTATCCACCCGATATCCGGAATCAACCATGTGCGCCAGAATAGAGCTATTTATGCTCATGACTTCGCCTTTTCGCAGCCATGCCGGGAGGTGTTCCTTTATTCTTTTGGATAGGCGCCGGCTCGTGCGACCAATATAATCTGCTCCACAGGAGCAAGTAGTGATTTGAACTGGTAACCTATCCTTTCCTTCCCCATATAAGATAGGGTTGGTTGCGAATAATACCCGAACTGTGGCTGCTGGGAAGGTTCTTGAAACGGCTTGGTCAAGGCGTACTTTTAGCAATTCACTTGCCGCGTCCCCTCAAAAGAGGACTTTGAGGAATAGTGTTTTCTCTTCCACAGTAAGTGCGGTGGGTTTTATTTGTTTCACAGCCATATTTCTTGTAATAAATCTTTCAGGATACCTATTATCGTGAAGAAGGTCCTGCATTTTTTTGAGCTCCTCCTCGATACTGTCTGCTGAGAAAATTTTTCTAACCCTTTGCACTAAGTAGCAGACTAGATTTCGCATCTGTTGATGGGGTACGAAACTTTTAAAATTCGTGTACTGTCCGGACCAGGTTTTCTTACGATAAACGCACTTTCGGATGCTACCGTCATGTCTGTAACTTAGGAGAACGTCCAAAAACGGAAGCGAACCTGCCGTTTACACCTTCGACGTAAATTTAATGGACGAATGTGCTTGGTTAACAGCATTTAAGAGTGCGTCTACACCGGTTTCGGTTGCAGCGATCGCGAAGATATTATCCACGTAGCGACCATAGTGTTTTAATTTGTGGATCTGAGCACTTTATTGAAATTTCGCCAGCTTGTCCATGAATATGTCGGCTAGGAGAGGTCCAAGAGGCGAGCCCATAGCAACACCGTCTATTTGTCTGTATAACTGACTGTCAAAAATGAACTGCACCTTTAGGGTGCATCTTAGAAATACTTCCTTCAGTGCATTTATCGGTATGCCTCATTCCAGCTGATTCGTCAATAGGTATTCGCAAATGTAATCAACTGTCTCGAAAGCGCACGTACGCTCGCCAACCTAATCTTCTGAATTTTCTGATACGAATTTTCGCAACTCTAAAATCATAATTACCAAAATAAACCCTGCCATGAGAACACCCGAACGTACGGTAAAAAGGTGCAGAAGGTCTTAAATCCGCATGAACTGCAGAGGAACTTGGGCAGCATTTTGTAATCAAGTCGTCGTGAACCCTTCCATCGGAAGCAATTGTAAATTGAGTACACACAGACAGTACAGCGGACGTGAAGGAACGAAGTCGACTAGCACTACATATAAATCGATGGTAATCAAATACATTTTAAGTTGAAGCAACATGAGAGAGAAAGCTTTGGTTTCACAGTCTCACCATTATAGGGGGGTGTCTTGAACACGATATGAGGCTTCCCATCCGAGGCAGGCTCCCCGTCAAGGCGTTCGGGCTCACCCGAGCAAGCGTGTTTGTTGCAAACCCACATGTAGACTCGGTGTTCCGCGTCCATGGTCAAATTCGGAAGATGGTGCCAGTACTCCTGGGCCCCGAACGCGGAGGGCTCCGTGGCATTCAACTGGAAGGTCATCTTCTTACGCTCGACCTTCTTATCCTCGACCTTCCTACGCCCGGCCCTCTGTGCAGCGCCTGTCTGCGTACCATCGACCTTCCCGTCTTTCCGCTTTAACGAAATAACAACAACGCAACTGACTACTGAGCAAAAGGTAGTAGCACATAAATATAACTGTGTAAATGCGGGAAAGGTTTTCTTACCGATTCAATCGTCAGCGTAACATTATGCAGTGGAGACTTGGAATGGGCTTTCCAACCCAAAAGGTAATAGTCGGCGTGGGAAGAAAAATTTGCGGACGTTACAACTGGAGCCGATGGAGTTACTTGTAAGGAAAAGAAGAAATTTGTAAAATCTCCGAATGCATATTGCGGGTACTTTTAAATGACTGGTTGCCAAGCGGCTGTTACCAAATGAATTTTGATATAATTTACCTCATAAGAATATGGAATTCCGCGCAAATTTTTGGTTGTATTTCACTCTATGGGAAATATTGGGAAAGGGCGTATCGAAAAGAGAAGCACTAATACTATTAGGCAGCTGGCAACGAACCAGAAAAATATAAAATCTGTGTCCCGTAGTACTCGGTGAAGATGACGAACAATAAGATTTGTTTTATAAGCAAAATATGAAAAAGTAAGGGAATCTGCGTTCGGTTTTTTGCGTTTTGTTTAAATAAGCTAAAAAGTAATAAACGAAAACGTTAGGCAAATACATTCGAAAAAACTGCAGAAATTGTTGAGAAGGCGAAAGAACGTTCTCTGGGACCAATATTTTATTTGCCCGACGTTTC